TCAACAGATGTATGACCCTGGAAGCAACATCTCACACTCAGAACTTAAGTTGATTCTTAACAATAAGTAGTTTTGCGTTTGTTTGTTTAAGACTATTTTTTTTTAGAGTAGTTTTAGGTTTACAACAAAATTGAAAGGAAGGTACAGAGATTTCCCATATATCTCCACCCCCAGACATGGATAGCCTCCCCTATTATCAACATCCTTCACCAGAATGTTTTATCCTGGTAAAATCAGTTTTACCAGGATAAACCTACAGTGACACATCATAATCACCCAAAGTCCATAGTACCTTAGGGTTCAGTCTTGGTGATGTACATTCTACGGGTTTGGGCAAAAGTATAATGACATATATTCATTATTACAATATCATACGGAGTATTTTCACTGCTCTAAAAATCCTCTGTGCTCTGCCTATTCAACTCATGTTTGTTTTTAATAATTTCCAAGCAGTTACTTCAAACAAAAAATATCACTTCTTTAAAGGCAAGCCTGCTACTTTTATATCCCTAGAGCTTAACACAGTGCTTCCCATAAACTGATGCTAAATAAATGTTTTCTGAATTCACACCACATTTTTAGCAATGTATAAAACTTTACATAAAACTGTTTAATATATAACTATATATTACATAATATATAACTATATAGCCACCTGTTTTCTCCACTTTAGCATAATGAGCTATTGAGTGTAACCAGAAACAGTCTCAAAACAAAGCGGTCTGTTCCACAGTTTCATACTCACTTCCACCAGTTCCTTTTCCTGCTCCCTATCACCCTATTTGTCACTAACTGACTCCTAATCATCCTCACCCCTACAGCAACCATTCCAAAGCTTCTTCACTCTCAAATCCCCAGTACCCCTCTCCACTTCCTCACTCTGTGTGTTTCCTTGCTCTGTTTTTCTGAGAAATCTAAAACCCATGATTCCCTCTTTTTCACTTCAACATTTTTGGTTCACTCTGTTTTTTGGTCTCCAAGGACACAATCGTCCTCCTTGTCACCAGCATTCTCGGCCACCACTTCCACTCTAGTAGAACCAGTCTGTCTCCTCACCTCCCTCCCTGACCTCCGTCCCTACATGCCTTGCGCTTTTCTCCACTCACTTCCACAACCCAGCCTCCCCTCACCAGAAACGGCCTCATCCATCACTTCCATACTCAAACTATACTGAACTCTATGCGTTCAAATTACCCTAAGAAGCACAAACCAACCTAATTTGTATTCATGCTTTCTCCTTGCAGCCCCTAGAGCACTTACTGTGTGTAATATTTACATCCCATTTAATTGCCTCCTGCCTTGTGGGTATGTCTTATACTACAACTCTTTTTATCTGTCTTTTCCCCCAAAACTATATTTATAAGCTATTTTAGGGCAAGGACTGTCTCTACTTCACTGTACGAATGAGTCTCCTGTTTATAGTGTACATTCAAATATTTTTTGATAATGGAGTGGTAATAAGTTTGCTCAAAAATTAACTTTTTTATGACTCACACAATATTCATCACTATACTCAATGTACTGACCCTTTCACATGCATTTATTTAGTGTATGTACTTTTCTTACCTTTGTTCGCATAAGCCTTACCTAATTTAAAGCAAGGCCTTCTCTTCCAGTAGGATTTTGCCCATTTACTTACTTATATTCACTTATTCTGTAATGGTAATAAGCAGTCACCCCAAAGTGGTGATTCTGGAGAGGATGACAATTTAAAATAAGGTTGAAAGTTCCACAAATGGGATTCAGAGAATCATTTAATACAAAAATTTAAAGTCACCTGCAAAAATGTGTGAGCACCCTGCATTTTTCGGGGGAGCAAATCCACACTTCCATCAGATTTTTCCCCCCTTAGGACTTCAAGATTAAGAATCACCAGTTTCCTCAAAAAGTTAAATATGGAACTATCATATGACCCAGCAATTCCATTCTTAGACATATGCCCAAGAGAAGTGAAAATATATGTTAATGCAAAAACTTGTACACGAATGTTCACAGCAGCATTATTCATAATAGCCAAAAAGTAGAAACAACACAATTGCTCAACAAGTGATGAATGGAAAAACAAAATGTGGTATATTCATACCATGGAATACTATTCAGGAATAAAAAGGAATGAAGTATTGATACACACTACAACATGGATGAACTCTAAAAACATTATGCTACGTGAAAGAAGCCAGACACAAAAGGCCACATATTGTATGATTCCATTTACATGAAATGTCCAGAATAGGCAAATCCATAGAGACAGAGAGTAGATAGTGATTGCCAGGGGCTGGGGAAAGGGTGAATGGGGAGTGACTACTAATGGGTACCAGGTTTCTTTTGGTGTGATAAAAATGTTCTGGAATTATAGCAGTGATGGCTGCATAACTTTGTGAACATACTAAAAGCCATTGAACTGTATATTTTGAAAGGGCCAATTTACTGTATGTCAATACTATATATATTTTTTAAAAATCTTCCTCTCCCAGCTGCATGCTTGACATCTTCTTTTGCATCATCTTTCCATACCTAAACTCTATGCATTCACATTAAAACTCAATAGTGCTCCCAACCACCTCCTTTTCTTAAGGTTCCTAATTTACACATAGTTTCTCAGGCTGGGAAATTTCAGAGATATCTCCAATTTTTTTGTCTCAGTTTCAACATCAGTCAGTCACCAATGCCATCATTTTCTATTAATAATAAAAATGATTACCTTCTTGAATACCTAATTCCTGCCAGACACTATGCTGGGTAATCTACAATTACCTTTAATTTTCACAATAATCATGTGTTTTACAGAGGAAGAACCTGAGGCTAAGGGAAATTACATACCCTGCCCTTCAGTCTTTCTCCCTCCAATGTATTCTCCACCCTTCACCGAGTGATCTTCCTAAAACCAAATCCAATCATGTTACTCCCCCCCCAGCCTAAAACTCTTCAAGGGTTTCCCACTGTCTTAAAGTCCAGACTCCTAACCTTGGTATAAGGTGCCCTTCAGGATCCCTCTTCTCTCATCACTTCTTATACCAATTTTCCTCAGTTTCTGGACCATGCCATGCTCCTTCTCCTCTTGCCTCTGGACTTGGCACAGGGTTCCCTTATTCATTCACTCAACACATATGTATTAAGTGCCCACTATGCACTTGGCCTGGTACTTGCTGCTTGGACACATATTGTAAATAAATCAGACATAAGTCCTGCCCTCAGGGTACTTAAGGTCTAATGGAAGAAACAAATAATAAACAAGTAATTACAGATTGTGATAAGTGAAATGAAGGAAGCAGGATGCTGTATCATAGAAAATCTAGGGTTGGGATGCAGGGGACAACCATGACTGTTTTTGATAGGTTGGTCTGATCAGGTCTCAGGTGGTGACATACTCTGAAACCTGAAGAGTAAAGCCAGATATGTGAAAAGCAGGCAAAAACAGGGGGCTGAGTGACAAGAGATGCTCCTGGAGACAACAGCAGAGTTCAGACCAAGGACTTGCGTAGGCCATGATCAGAGTTTGGATTTTATTCTAAGTCTGAAGTGCAATGGAATTCACCAAAGAATTTTAACTAAGGGAGTGTCACTTTTTGCTGCTGAATGAAAAAGGGATTGGAGGGGCACAAGATGGGAAACAAGGATACAAGGCTGAAGATTTGGTAATGGTTTAGAAGAGAAAAGTACACATTTTGGACAAGGGTCTGACAGTGAAGGAGGAAAAACGTAGACAGATGAGATGCAGAATTGACCTGACTTGCAATGTCACTGGCTGAAAGTGAGAGATGAAGAGAGGATATAGAGAATTTGAGGAACTGTCATTAGAGAAGGAAAGTAGGCTTACCATAGAAACAGTAGATCAGAAGAATCTCAGGCCCATGCTGAATGAATATTCAAGAGCTTGGCCATTTTCATTTTATAGTATCATCAATTTGTCCAGGACATTTTCCCAGCAAACTTCAGCCATATAGGTGCAGGTGCAAAGAGGGCAAAAGAGTTGGGTTCATCCAGAATAAGGGTTTTGCCAGAAAAATAAAAGGCAGGGAGGGACAAGAGAATAATGCATTTTCAAGGAGAGATTATAATGGTAAACTGTGACACACTCTAAACTGGATACGGGGGTACAGATGGACAGAAAATGGAAGGATTAATGGATTGGAGATATAGATGACGTTCATGTACCCTGGGGTACATAAGCAAGTGACTATGGTCAGATAGTAGGAAGTTATAATTCATTTCTTCTGCTTGGAATGGTCATCTCCTCCTCTAGGCAAACATGATTTGGATCTCCAACCACATCCACCCTGTGCATTTCTGCTCCCTGTCTTCCCATGACCCCCCAGCACCACCACCTGAGTTTGTCACTGTCTCATCCAATCATAAAGGCCAACCTCAAACTATTCCCTCGTTGAAGCAGTTATGTTTTCCCCACTGTGGTCTCTCCTCCTGGTGACAGCCCTCACCTAGTGTGTACTGTTAGTATTCATGTTACCAGGCACTGGTCATTCTTTTTCCTTTCTAAGCCCCTTTACTCAATTGGGAAAAGGCAATGTTATAAACATCCAAAAATCTCTGGACCCCGTGGCAGTACCCAGAACAGTGCCAGGCAGGGAGCAATCATTCAATAAATGCTAGCAGGGATCCCAGGCTCAGGGCCTCCATACCTCACCCGTTCTCTAAAGCAGGATTCCACCGCAATCGCACAAAAGCTCTTAATCCGTGTTTACAAAAGTCCCAGATACCTCCATTTACCCCAAGGGTGCGCTTCAATTTCACAAATTTAATTTTAATCCACTGTAACATTCAAAACATCCTCATGTGTGAAACAGCACTGGTACGATGATCAAAGATCTGCATGCCACAATTTGAGAAAAGCCACGTCCACTAGAAAACAAATCATTTTCCTTATAGCTTAATGCAGGGCCGGAGAGATATGGGTTAGGAGCGACACTAAAAGGCCACATGAGGGATGCCAAGCGAGTCGGCACAGGGATGCAGTCGTGGTCTGACCTCAGCCTGGCACTTACGTTCCTCCTCTCCAGCTCCAGCTCCAGGGCCCGTATCAGTGGTCGCCCCCGGGCCTGCTGCCATAGCTCGCGCGACGCGGGCTCCGCCCGAACCCAACAGTGGAGTGGAGTGGAGAGGCTGTGGGGCACGGTGAAGGCGAGAACCGGGCTCTGAACCCGCAGGACAGGAAGCAGTTCTCACCGGCTCCCCCGGAAGCGCCGCTCACGTGGAGTCACGTGACGGACGCTGGGCGGGGCCCCGCAGGTTTGTTTTGATTCCCTGTTGTTAAAATATAAGCACGTGGTGTCAGCTCTGGCGTCTTTTACCTGTCACAGACCTTAGCCTTCCTTTCAATGTGGTCTTTTCTTGGCTTGGTCTCTGCTTCTCCTCGTTTTCTAGTCAGGTCTTTCCTTTCCGCTTTGGCGCTTTTCTCTACCCAACCGTATTGGAGTTTTAGGGGACGGTTTGCTTTTTTGTGGGGCTCAGCACAGTAGAATGTGGCTCAGCGTTCTCTTACTCTGCAGCCGCTCTGACCAGCCTTGGATGCCAGGAGAGCTCACGTTTCTCTTCCACCTCCCTTGCCCTTCTGGCAGCAACATGACTCCATCTGGTTTTCGTGACTGCCGGGGAATACGAACCTCAGGCAAAGGTCCTTTAATTGCGTTCCCCGTGACTCATTTCTCGACCCAGACAAGCCAAATCGCTTGACGTAGGTTTTCAAGGACGCTAATCAACACCCATCAGGGTTCTAGATTTGTATGTCAAAATAAACAGCCGGCTGCTTGATCAAGAGATCAACAACCCCCACCCTTCTCCTCGTTTACTCTTTGGTCAAAATCATAATAACTGGAGATGGAGTTAGGTCATTTGGGGACAGAAAGAAGTCTTCCAGCCTTAACCAACCTATCTTTATTGCTCGCCTAGTAAACGACAACAAAATGGGTAGAAAGATATCTATATCTTTTATATATAGATGAATGAAATTGGCTGGTTTATAATTTCCTCATTGGGTATGTAAAACAAAAAGCTGATAAAAACTAGGCATTTTTTACTGTACATGAAAAACGAGAAATTATTTTCATGCGACAATTTTCTGGGTCCCTACTACGCCTCAATTTTATCCTGCCTCCCCCTATAATTTCTGGTTATAAACGCAACAAAAATAAGAATAAACCCAATATAGAAGCAAGCATTAGCTTAAGTGACCGGAGGTCTCCCACTTGTTTATTAGGCACATGATGTAAACTTGGGCACTTCCTCCAGCAACCGCGGATTCCTTGGCCAACCTCCTCTAATACAGCCCTCTGGAGTTTCCTTCGCCCCGGGCTGAGCCGCACTCCTCCCTGCCTTTTCAATTCCTCCCGGTCCTCTCTGGGACCCCGGGTCCACTCCCTCTCCGGTCTCGTTCCTTCCAGCCCGCCGCCCCTGCCCCGCCTCCCCACGGGGTCGGCTCGCACAGCGCAGGCGCAGCAGCCGCGGCCGGGAGGCCGAGGGCGACCGGAGCAGCCCCGGCCTTCGCTTCTTCCCGCCGCTTACGCGCGGGGCTGGTCGGCGGCCACCCGGACCGCGCCGGGCAGTAGCCCCGCGGCTC